GCTAACTATGTATCACTAGCTAATGCTGTAGAGAGATTGGGACAAAGAGCTGGAGCTGATGACATACGAAGTGAGTTATAATAATTGTATTAGCAGATTAACTGAGGGAAAGGGACAATTGTATTATTATTATTTATAAGGATTAAAATTACTATTAATTTATAAAATTGTTATTATTATTATTTTAAATTATTTTTAGGACAATGTGGAATTGAAACAGCAAAAGAGGATGTCCCTGTCATTGGTATGTATTAATTAATAATAATTATATTTATTAGTTTATTAAGAGACTGGAGGGAGGAGCCCAGTGACTCCATTACCAGCACAGGAAGACAGTTACATTGCAGAAGAAGAAGAAGAAGAGAAACCATCAAAGAAAGAAGATGAAGGAGGAGGAGGAGGAGGTAATGCATATAACAATTATTAGTTTTGATGTCCTTATGCTGTGTAGAAAGTTTGAGCCGATTCCAACTTCAATTTTTCAAGTTACGGCCATGTTAACAAATGAGCCAAAATCTGAAAAAATCCCTGTACTATAGCCCATGGTTTTTATCGAAAAATGGCTCTGAAATCACTCCCAATTTTTATTATATTTTTTGATACATATTGATGCCCTTATGCTGTGTAGAAAGTTTAAGCTGATTCCGACTTCAATTTTTCAAGTTACGGCCATTTTAAAAAATGAGCCAAAATCTGAAAAAATCCCTGTACTATAGCCCATGGTTTTTTCCAAAATATAGAAAGTTTTAGCTGATATTTAAAATTTCTTATTACAGTCCATTCTTTTGTCTAAAACGATTTCCATTACTTTATAGTTCGACAAAGAACAACTGTTGCTTCATCCAAACCAAAGGAACAGGAACAGGAACAGCAAGAGAAGGCTCCTCCTCAAAATGGCAAGAAAGGTTTGACTGGTACTAATACCCAGTCCATTCTTACTGTCACTGTAGGTAGCTATTGTAACTGGACTGTGTTAGGAGGAGGTCTTGGTTTTGTTGTTTTTCTCATTGTTTTGGGTTTTCTTGCGGTTAGAGCATACGGAGATGAAGGTATTATTAATAACAGGATACAGTATTGGTATAATCATAATATATAAACTACCAGATATCAGTCTTGATGTGACTAATCTTAAAGAGATACTTGAAGTGTTAGGGGAAGGATTTTTTCCTGATCATCGCTGGTTTGATCTCGGTCTCAGTTTGGATCTAATCCACAATGATTTATCAGTTATTGAAGCTGATAGATCAACAACTCACCGACGATTGCAGGAGATGCTGTCATTATGGCTGAGGAGAGGAAGGGCAACTTGGAACGGATTAGCTGCAGCACTTGATAACATTGAAGAATATAAAGCAGCTAGTAAGCAGAAGGAGGGGATTTATTTATTTATATTATTATACATTGTATACATGTACTTATGTTGCATAGAAAGTTTGAACTGATTCCAATCAAGTGCTGACATGACACTTCATTATTTTTTTTATTTTTAGAAGTTGTGAAAGCTAAAGTTACAAATGACAGATATGAACTCTAGCTTTTGTACTTTTATAATAATTAATTTTTTATTAAAAACGAGTAACTATAAGTGTTGAAGCTTGAGTGATTATTGAAGGGAATTAAATTTGGTAAACTGCTAAATTTTGGTGATTGGCGAAATGAAATTTGTATAGCCACATGTCTTGCATTTTTTAAAGTAACAATTTCTATTTTAACCCTTTCACCACTCCATGTTAGTCATAATAAGTGATTAGAATAAAATAGAACATTATCCTCAACAAACAAACAAATTAAAATCAAAACAACAATAAAATAATAACAATAATAAATTAAAAATCAGTAATTATTTCAATAAATATAATAATTATAAATGCTAACTAAGAAGATGATCTGGACTTAAACTGTTCCTCTTTTTAAGTTCCGAAATGACACTGTGGTCTAGAGTACCAACCTTACTGGGGGAGACCACACCTCTTGGAATAACAGGCTGAGGAATAGAAAATAATAACCATTAATAACTATTAATAACTGCTTATTAATATAACCATTATTAATAACTATTAATAACTATTAATAACTACCTGTGGATTATAACTGACTGATAAATTCATTCCGTGAGTGGGCGACGTGTGAGGAGAAGACTGCGTTGGATTCTAATCAATTAATAAATATAATATTAATTAATGGGTGTGGCTAGCTCCACCCACTCACCAATATGCTAATTCCTCTGTTTCTACTGTCGAAATGAGTAGGTGTGGTCTTTACCGGCATCAGTGGAGTTTGAATACCATCGGGAAACTAAAAATAAGAAAAATGTAATAAAAATGGAAAATTATCTCCTTTTCATTTTTGGAAAAATTTTAGCCACACATACTTTAGCAAATATGATGGCAGCCAGGAGGAGGAGTCTATCGTCTGCTGAGTCAGCACAGAGGAACTTGTTCTGTTCCTCAAACCGAACCAGCAGACAGAATGGGTATCGAGTTGGCAGAGGGTTCCGAACGTCAATCCTCTTTTGTTCAATTCCAACAAACACATCTAAATCTGATAGAGCTAGTCTTGCCAATTCATTATGAGCCTAAAAATAAAATAAAATAAATAATAAATAAATAATTTCCTGTACTTTTGCATCTTTATAAATGAGGAACATGTTATCCCTAACTCTACAGGGACACTTCCTCCACTTCTTCTTCTCCTGTACATGAATGGACACTGTCTGTCCTTTATAAATACCATCCTATCAGTAATGAACATATTAATTATTATTATCATAATAATTATTATTATTGTGCTCTTACGAAAGGCAGTAATTTATCAGCGAAGGTGTTAGGTTTTATACACAAGTAAGAATCAGGTTTCTGTACTGCTAGTACCAGCTCCAGTGAATGTAATGGACGCTCTACAGAGATAATAAAGACTCATTAACTATTCATTATTATTATTATTATTAATTACCTGATTCAGCGTCACCCAGTACCAGGAACAGTGCGTAGTTCCTCTTTGGTAGACATTTTGTTGTAGTAACAAACTCAACCACTTCAGCTGCAGTGGTCTGAGCATTAATCTTCATAGAACAAGCCCCACCCTCTTTATTAGTGACGTATATTGATATCAGGAAACTGGTGCTTGAACTCATTAACATTGTTGATTCCTGATCAATGAGATATCAGTGAGAAATCAATGAGATTAATCCACTAACCTTGTGCTGTTGCTGTGCTGCTTGAATCTTTAACAGAGCTGATTGCATTGCCTAAAACAACAACATTCAAATTTAAATTTAAATTCAAATTCAATTCTCCAAACCTCTTCCTTCTTGTCCTCATCCTCGTTGACGTTAAACAGCCACTTGTAATAGTTCAACATGTGATTGATACATGCATACTGGGCACCTGAGTCTTCAAATGATACCTAATTAAAGGGGTGTGGTCAATAAAGGGGGCATGTCAGTGGGTGGGACTTACAGCATCTCCATCAACAGTCATGAGAGTGGGACCAAATAAACTAATAATATTGGACTGACTCATCTTGTTATCTGATTCATGCTGGATCACTCTGGAGCATGGGAATGGAATTATGAGAGTATAGGAATGGAATTATGAAAGTATGGGAATAAAATTATAAGAGTATGGGAATGGAATTATGAAAGTATGGGAATGGAATTGAGAGTATAGAAATAGAATTATGAAAATATAGGAATGAAACTATGTGAGTATGGGAATGGAATTATGAAAGTATGGGAATGGAATCATGAGAGTATAGGAATAAAATTATAAGAGCATAAAAATGAAATTATGAGAGCATGGGAATGGAATTATAAAAGCATGGGAATGGAATCATGAGAGTATGAGAATGTATATAATTACTTCAATAAGTGTCCTATTAGTCTCTTGAGTGTTTCTCTGTTAACGTCAGGCAGCTGATCAATCAGAGACTGTAACTGGTACATCTGGTTCTCATGACCTGATGTCATCGCTAAAGGAAAGATTATTAAAGATTATTAATAATAATAAAATATTAAAAGGACGTGTTCATACATGAAGCATGTAGAAATGGTTGATACAGTTTGTGAGTCATCAGTGGGTCAGGTAGTGTCCTGAAGAACTGTTTGAGTGTTCCAGTTACATCATGAACTGAGTAGCTGTCCTCGTCAATGACCACACCCCTTGGGTCCTGATTAAAAGCCAGGAGGAGCTTACGTATCTTAGAGTGTTCACCACTTTTACGATACAATCCCTCGGTCTTGAGTCCTGGGGGAGGGGGAGAGGTCAGAGGTCATATAGGGATGGGTCATGTCTTACCTGATATCTCAACAAACTGAAGACACTTGTGTACGATGATTGGAATATTGCCACTGGATATAACAGGGTGCTCTGACAATTGGACTGACATCTTAAATAATGAATTAATATACAGTAATAGTATCTTTATAATGACACTAGTATATGTTACCTGAGTCTGCTTGAGTGCTTGTAACCACTGGTCAGCTTCATTAGGATTATCAGCTCTCAATGTGTACGACCTACAGAAGATATAAATACATTGATCCACTAGTCCATACAATCCTTAATAAACCAACACACAGTATTATCATTATCATTATTATCATTATCATTATTATCATTATTATTATGTACCTCTCATGAGTGACAATATGTACAGTGCACTGTTGGTCAAGGTTAGCGCTAGGGTCAGACGAGTGTCCCTTGAGTTCAGTGACTGTCCTCAGGTCAATGGAGGTCACCTCTCCCTGTCCTTTCTTGAAGTAGCTCAACTTCCTGTCCTTTAGGGCAAACCACCGCCTCTGCCAAGTCTATGGGATACAATCAGTTAATAACAGCAGAGAGGTCATGTGAAACTGTCATGTGAGACTGTGTCATGTGATGTATCTTACCACGTTCTTCAGTGACTTCTTCTTTAAGAAACCTATTTTATCATAACCCTACACCAATGAATAAATAATGAGCTGTACTATTATTAATTAATTAATTAATATTACCAGTTTGTCTCCAGCATCATTAGGAATCACCTAAGGAAATAGAATACATTAATTGAGGGGTGTGGTTTATTAGTTTAACCCTTTCCTACCTGTCTGACGACACTGATCCAATCACTCATATCAGTATCAGTATCAGCTGAGAACAGATAGGCTCTAGCGGCTGTGATCACTTCAAAGCAATGACCACGCCCATTGACTTCATCCTCACACTGGCAGACCCCCAGGATATCATTTACTCCAATATTACCCAATATTTCCGGGTCCTATGGGGGGGGGAGAATGTAAGGAATGAGAGCAGCTGGTGCAGAATGAGTAAAGAAATATGATACATTCCTTCACAAGCACACGCCTAATGTCACTTTGACCATAAAAGATAATCATTGTATTGAACAGATTAACACTGTCTACTCTCTGTCTGTCTCTCTCCCTCTCTCTCTTACTGTGTCTGTCTTGAAGTATTCCAGTCCTCTAAAGTTGTCAATGGTGCAGTATCTTCTCTTCCAGCCGAGTCTCTCTGAACCAGTTTTATGTAGATACCCTCTTTTACTAATGGTCTGTATTGAAGACTAAAAGAAATAATATTAATAATTAATATTATCAAATAATGTTTCTTACATCATTATTAATGTCAACTAGTGCTCCATTTTGTTCCAACAGTTCAACTTGTAATGGCTGACTATTGGACCTTGCTATAGCAAGAGCTGAAGAGAAAAAAAACAACAATAATAATAATAACAACAATAATAATAATAACAACAACAATAATAATAACAACAACAATAATAATAACAACAATGATGAATGATGAATGATGGGCTATAGTACGCCTATTTTAAAAATGGCCATTACTCAAAAAAATAGAGTCGGAATCAGCTCAAAGTTGCTACACAGCATAAGGACATCAATATGCATCAGAAAATGTAATAAAAATTGGGGGTGATTTCGGAGCCATTTTTTTGGAAAAAACCATGGGCTATAGTACAGGGATTTTTTCAGATTTTGGCCCATTTTTTTAAAAATGGCCGTAACTTGAAAAATTGAAGTCGGAATCAGCTCAAACTTGCTACACAGCATAAGGACATCAATATGCATCAGAAAATGTAATAAAAATTGGAGGTGATTTCGGAGCCATTTTTTGGAAAAAACCATGGGCTATAGTACAGGGAAGAGTATCATTAGCTTACGTGTGTTTAGTTCAGGATCAGAACTATCTTTAACATTACAACAAGGCTATAATAATAAATAAAATAAATAAATAAATAAATAAATATTAATTTACGTTAGCTCCTTTAACAAGTAATTCTGTAGTTAACATCAGGTCATCATCAATCACTGCCGAACACAACGCCTACGCAAATAATCACGTGATACAGACCACACCTACTGCTCCACCCACCATATTCAGCTCCTCCTGGTCGGCCAGTGCATTATCAGGTACCCAGGACTTGCTCTCGTACTTTGAGCGAATGAAGGACTCACGAATCTCTCTAGGACAATCAGTCGGTATCCTCTCACCTTTGAAGTGTCTCTCCCAAAACAAGTTTGCAGAATAATTACCAATAGTGACCATCAACTGGAGAATAATAATAATAATAATAATAATAATAATAATAATAATAATAATAATAATAATAATAACAATAATAATAATAATAATAATAATAATAATAATAATATAATTCTTCTTACGTTGATAAGTGTGTCGGTCCATATCTCAGTGTCCAGTTCGACAGACCTAACTTTAGATATATGAACTCCCATTGCTCTATGGACTCCTGAGCACTCAATACAGACCATGATACCTCTATTGACCACACCCCATGATGGATCTAATGATATTCATTAATATTATTATTAACATTAGGTTAATGATACCTTCATCACCACAGTCGGCACATTTCTTATTGGAAGGATTCTTCTGTATCCTTTCCAGTATATCCTATAAATAGATACAATATGGTATGGGGTAGTTATTAATAGTTATTAATATTCATCACTTACAGCTGCCCTCACTCCTTTCTTTCCCTCCTTCTGTTCAGGTGCCAGGTTCAGTCCAGTCAATATGGCATTGGACAGTTTCTCAATCCATTCCATCCTGTTGGCTTCATTGGACGCTTGAAAACTATTAAAATAATAATAATCAATAAAGTAATTAATTAATACATCCTTTCATTACATGTATGATCTCTGGTTTGGCATTGTTATTGTAAATCGGCTCTTTCCACCTGCTTCAGGTTTAACCATCGCCAGCCTCATATCAAGCACATGGATTGGCTTCCCTTGAACAAAATCCTAACATTAACAACAACAATAATGTTAATTAATATTACTAATTGCAGGGGCATACCTCTTTGCTGTCGTAATAAGCAAACTTAGCTCCTTTCAGTGCCACATATCTATTAAGAAACACATTTCACCAGTGTACCAGTGTACCACTGCCAGTATACCAGTGTACCATTTGACGTACCTTTGTCTAAACCCAGCGAACCTCCCGTGTCCTTGTTTCATGATGAATCCTTCTTTATCAGGTTCGTTCATGTTGCCTCCTACTTTACAAGACTGCTCATCTTGAGGCTAATGGAACAATTATCATATAATTAATTAATTAATTAATATTTATTCATTTATTTAATTACGTTATATTTGCTGATTGCAGCATGTAAGACGCTGACCCAAAGTTGTGCCTCGTCTACAAATAAAATAAAAAGATAAACATTCCTCAATATATTGATAATGGCTGCCAGTCCTTACCATCATTATCAGCATAGAACTGGAACACTCTGTTAATAACCACCAGATCAAACCTTGAGTTATGGTCGGGCTACAGGGAGAGAAGGGTTATCATTATCATCCACACACTATATATGGTATTAGACATACATCAGATACTCTCTTAATGTCGATCATCTCTGATAACTTCACATTATTACGAGCATCAGATTCCTAACAGAGAGAGAGAGAAGGAGGAGGCAGGGAAGGTTAATATGTACAATATATTGGATTGTGACTCTAACTTTCTCTCCTTTTGCTTTGAAATATTTCAAGTCTTCACCATCAAACACAACCCAGCGCCTTTGATAGGGTTTGTCATTCCTCTTACTAACAATAAACAACAACAAACAACAATAAACAACAACAAACAACAATGGCTTACCCTCCTTTCTTGAATAAGTATCCTTCTTTAGTAGGCGGGACCTGCCAATAAAAAACAAATTAAAATACACAAAATACTGGCAGACACAAATAATGAAATTAGATCACATACTATAGTAAATTCAAATGAGCAGGTGCTGCTACTATTACTACTAGCCTGTGTCATGATAGTGTTGTGTCCTTTATTAAAGACACAACTTTATAATAATCACATGAATAGAATCAACAAGAACACTGACCCATCTCTCTCTCTCTCTCTCTTTTCACACAGCTGCTGTGGAACAATAAATAAAAAGAGGTGACAAGTACTCATATAATAAACAAAGAATATAATCTCATTCAGTCGTACACAACACCACACACTCCAATGAATGCTGGAATGTAAGTGTAGGTACACACACACACACTCACTCAGTGAGTGATACTGATATATCACGAGGGCATGTACTGAGTATGTGTTTATGAGTGAGCCCATTTGTAGCTATGAATACAATAAACAGTATCAAGGGCAATGATTTGAATTCCAGCTGCTTATAGAGGAGAGGAGACGGTGAACCTCATATTGATCATCAGTTGTTGTGTTAGAATTGGCCAGAGAAGAGCTAACCAGTTAATTATTAATTACTCACAAGACGTGTTTTCAAACAACGACTGACACTGACCACAGAAACATGTTCCTGTCATGTTATAGTACGACCCACGATAGCCTCATCACTAGAAAGGGTATTTAAACAGCTGGATAGTTACATTGTAGCATGATTCTAGTCCAAGGGAGTACATTTTGAAGAAAATTTTTTGAAGCAACTTAAAGTTACTGTACCAGCTAATCCAATAGCATATCAATAATAATACAATTAAGAATAGTGCCATGATTAGTAGACTATTAGTAACGGGGTTAGCACAATTTGGTAACAAATGACAATATAATGAGGATCATAAAGATGTACATGTACTTGTAATTAATAATAATTATTGATGTACTAAAATGGAAAACCCCTCCATCCTCTATGCACATATTTCAAATATTTGGTACATTTTTGGAATATTTCAAAGGAAGGATTGATAGGGTATTACATAAGAGACACAAACTAATAATAACAACAAGTACCAGTACATGTACGCTAACTATAGAGCTGCTATTGTGTGAATAAAGAGTTAAAAATAATAAACAAAATAATATTAATAGGACAAGTTTATAAGAGCTTGTTTTACTGTTGATGGAACAAAAAACAATAAGAAATGACAATAACAACAACACAAGATACTAACACACTCCAGGAGTTGTAATGGAGTTCAGTTGTATTTTATCATAAATATTGGACAGTGGACAGTATTTCAATAGTACCAAAATTACAATGAACCAGCAATACTGTAGTACTATTAAGGATGAGCCAGTATAAAATAATAACAATTAAAAGAATAGGATACAGTATAGAACAAGGTCATGATGTATACTAGTACACGTACATGAGCTATCACAAAGGAAGAGAGAGTACACAGGGCAAGTGTAGACAATATTAGATCATCAGAAACCATTTAACTAATAATTATAATGAAGCACAACACAGTATCCCATGATGATATCAGGAGACACATCCTCTTATCACTGCCAACAGAAAGAGATAAGGAGAGAGAGAGAGAGAGAGAGAGAGAGAGAGAGAGGGAGAAGGTATAGAGAAAGAAGAGGTACATGTACTAGGTATCAAACTGCAAGGTCTTTACAGGTACCCCATCATCCAAAGGCTGTGCATTGCTGATACAAGTGTTGAAGTGTAAGGCTTTTGCTTTGGTAACATGTAATCTGAGCTCACCAGCAGCTGCTAGTAATATACTGTATTAGCGGATTTAGTGAAAATTAATGTTTGATGTACAAGTATTTAGCAAGTTTTAATTAATATCCTGTCCTCACTAATGGAGGAGAATGTGTACAGTAAGACACTAAACAAGTGGAGGGAAAGAGAGAGAGGATAGACACATAATTAAAAAAAGAGAGACACAATAGTTCCAATGGACAGACATAAACTTACAAATATAAAAATAAAAAGACCAACAAAGACACTAAACAGTGTATTTATATCAGAGGGTATTACATTAACAAGTACTACAACCTCCATATTAGCATACTATACATACTGTATTTATATTAGCGTACATTAGATAAGAGGGTACTACTCACACATTGGGACGGCTCTATTGCTAAATTAAAAACAGAAACTGAAGCAGGTGAAGATCCTTTTAATGGAGAAGGACTGGAATTAAGAGAAGGAGGACAGCTGAGGTTAGTCATGCTGAAAGCAGGAGTCATTTTAACTGCCAAATTACAATCACTCAACCCATTGGGTTTCTTTCGAGTAATGATCGGAGAGATACCTCCATAATCAACAGTGTCATGACGATCGGACTTTAACCGCCTAGGGGGAGAGGCCAGGGTATAGGAGTCATAGCCAGTATCCTGCAAACTACGAGCAGAGGAACGTCCCTTCTGCTCCCGAGAGACAAGGGGAAGTAGGTGGGGCCGTACCTGAGGGGAAGAGGGGCTGAGGGAGGAGGAGGAGGAACGAGAACCAAAACTGAAGCTGCTCCCCCGAGCCACTTTACGACCGAGAGTGAGGGACTGGTAGGACGATGAGGCCATGGTACAACGACGATCAGGAGCTGGGGAACTAGCAAGGGACTCAAACTTATGTCGTAAAGTAAAGAAATTATTTTGACGAGGAACATCAGGAGTATCTATAGCAGCCATATTTAATGAAGGGGAACTATCAGCAGAATGAATACTAAGAGAAATAGACTGGAGAAATGGTGAGGGTATGGTGTTTCTACAGTGTCAATGTGATCCAGTATAGAATGACTCTACTAATAATGTAAGAGTATTACTGGAGGAGTAGGATAAGGTAAAGCAGAGTTGCTGCTGCTTCAGGAAAAGGTTGCTTTGTGGATTAGGCGGGTGGACAGGAATGATGCAGCTACTGGTATTACTGCTGATAACAGTAGCCCTAGAGAAGATTAGACTAAGGAAGGAAGAGAGTGACTGGTGGAGGGCGAGAAGCAACTGTTGCTGCAGGAGAAGAAGCGGATCTTTTAATAATTTGTTGTCATTTGATAAAGCATTTCAAGTATGCAACAAGACATGATGATGGGCGGGGCTAGTCATTAAAAGCAATTACTTAACTTATTAAAGTTATCAAGACTAAGTAACTATTAGTGAACGTTAACTAACTAGTCAGGAATAGTCTTTGTAAAAGTAAAGTTAAAATAGCCAAAGAAAGTAAGGCCATTAAAATAAAGAGATACAGTAAACTAGGGGAACAATAACACACAACAGCATACAAAATAAATACATTAAAACAGTAAAACAAACAATAGGTCTATCAATGAAATCAATGAATTAAAAACACCCACGGGATCAGTTAAACTTCCTATACTATACACTCCATTAATGTATGCTAATAATAATGATAGCCTTTAACTTACAGTGGAGGTATACTCATCCTCTTCAGAGCTGTAATCATGCTCACCAAACAACATGATTCAATGATGTATAGTAGAACTGACTAGTAGGCAACAAGAAGAGGAAGGAACTCTGAACAGCACTGACTCAGCCAGTTAGACTGGGAATGCAAACAGGACTATATACAGTAATATATAGTGTATTCTCACAGCAAAGAATGGAGTACTGAAAGAATAAAGACAATGGAAGATGGTAGAGATTTATACCTCCACTATATGGCAGTCAATGATAATGAGGGATTATCTTTGAAGTCAAAGAAGAACTGCTTCTGGTATGATATGAGACCAGTAGCCAGTGAGAGCCTTTTATAGGAAAGAGAGAGGGAAGAGAAGGAGACAGGCAGACTTTGTTATTCCCTCAAGTGGTTCCAAGAAAGTCTTGCAAGTAAACAAGTGAAGTGATGAGTCAAAAACAAGAACTGTTGAGTGAATGTTGATAAAGAACTAATGACTAGCTGTTATCAAGGAAGAGAGAGGGAGCTGTTATCAGAGAAGAGCTTCTGATGGACTGAGTTGTGATAAAGAGAAGAGGTGGTCACTATATCAAGCCACACACCTCACTTGCACGGATTTATAATTATGTAAACAAGGCAAGAGAGCTGACAAGACCAGCCAGCCAAAGACAACAATCAGAAGCCAAACAACAACAATAATAAATGACACTCTCTCTCTAGACCTGCACATGCAATCATGCACAATCACCTACACAAACATATCCTGCATGCTAATGAACAGAGTACACACTCTTTGAGCTTTAATAACAAATAGTCACTCCAAATATTGCAAGAACTCTCTCTCTCTCTTCCTCTCTCTACTTGTCATCTAATAACAAGCCAGCCTTTATTAGGAGGCTAATGAAGACAATAGTGTCCATATCACCATCACATTAACATCAACACAAATGAATTACAGTACAATATTATAACACTAGTATATTAGTAATAATCCTATTACAATAATTGAATATTAAGACGGTACATTGAACATTGATCCGGTATATTTACTATACCAATAATTCCCATTACTACAGTACACCATTGGTCCACTGGTACACAATGGTATATTTACTACAGAATGGAGTGGGTTATAAGCTGCAGTGTTTACTAGTCTCAGACTATGTGCGTGTGTAGTGAGATGGTGTACTTTCTGTATAAGTGAGTTTGTGTACATTAGGTGATTGCTATATTTGGAAATTATCAAACTCCATTACTTAATAGCATATCAATGAGGAAGTTAGGACAAGCAGATTATAATACGAATAAATTAAAATAAAAAAATTGCAAAATTAATATTATAACATTGCTTACCCCTAAAATTGAAAGCGCTCTTGAAGCTGCTGGAGAAATCTAAAAATAGAATAGAATTAGTATTATTTTGTTACTAAAAATAGACGCACAGCAATTAGCAATGCAGTTAAATAATACATGATTATAATAACAGTATTCATAATGGTGGACAAACAACAAACAAGGAGATAGGTATAAAAATTTAACGAGCTTCGTATATATTTTTACTAGACAATCTCATTAAAATTTTCATGTAGACTCACCGTTTCATCAGCTCTGATGTTTCTGTAAAAAAGTAAAAAATATCAAATTTAATTGTAAATAAGAAAATGACGTTCTTACATAACGTCGCTCTCAGATAAAGCAGATTTGATTTGCTTCTCCATTTCCTTTTTCTCAAGATCTTTAGCAAGATCCTTGACCGACATGAACTGACCTTTACCCTGTGGAGGAGAGAGAGAGAGGGGGAGAGTGAAGGGGGGGGGAGAGAGAGAGCTTTCATTAGTTTATACTACAAGGTATAAAACACATTGTAAAGTGTTGAATTGAATCTGACACAGGAGCTGTGAGATATCTATCACTTGACTGACCTAATCTCAATACACTAACAAGTGTTTACCATTCACTTTCAACATAATCATAATCATAATAATCAAAATAATAACTAGATAATTGTAAAACATGCAAGAGGCAATGCCAAAACATTATATATACACGTACATGTACATTGTACATTATGATTCTATTGAACACGAAACAATCCCTGTACTATTAGTACAGGGACTTTTGTCAGATTTTGGAGCAACTTTAAAAAATCATAAAAAATCCAAACTTGATCGGAATCAGCTCAAACTTTCTACACAACATAAGTACATGTATATGCATCAGAAAATGTAATAAAACTGAGGAATTTTCTACTTGTCAATTTTGGTGAAATTTCACAAAAAATCCCTGTAATATAGTACAGTGACTTTTGTCCGATTTTGGAGCAACTTTAAAAAATCATAAAAAATTTAAACTTGATCGGAATCAGCTCAAACTTTCTACACAACATAAGTACATGTATATGTATAAGAAAATGTAATAAAATTGAGGAATTTTCTACTTGTCAATTTTGGTGAAATTTCACAAAAAAATCCCTGTACTATAGTACGGGGACTTTAGTCTGATTTTGGAACAACTTTAAAAAATCATAAAAAATTTAAACTTGATCGGAATCAGCTCAAACTTTCTACACAACATAAGTACATGTATATGCATCAGAAAATGTAATAAAATTGAGGAAACTTCTACTTGTCAATTTTGGTGAAATTTCACAAAAAATCCCTGTACTATAGTACGGGGACTTTCGGCCGATTTTGGAGTAACTTTAAATATTTGTAAAAATTCCAAATTTGATCAGAATCAGTCCAAACTTTCTACACAACACAAGTACATGCATATTATGATTATTAACATACTCTGGCAGGTTTCTTATTGTCAGTGAATCTCCTCAATGGGCTGAGTCCATCAGTAGTATCAGCCCCTCCTCCTCCTTCAGGGTAAGACTGGGTAAAGAGACCACTGGATCTACTAGGGGAGCTCATTGTCTTGAGAGGAGGGGCAGTGGTTGAAAAGGGAGGGGTGGAGGGAGTGTCTGAAATGACGGTTTCATACGTAGAAGACTAGAGAGAGAGAGAGGGAGAGGGAGAGAGAGTGTTATCTTGTTCTCATTAACTGGGAAATGTGATTGTTTTTCACAAGTGAATTTAGATGTAACAAAAGGGGTGTGGTCACAATAAATAATAATGCACAGTTATTAATAACTCACTGGAGGAGGAGCAGGAGGTGGTGGGAGTCTCCGAGGAGTATCAGTATCAATCACTTCATAAGTTAAAGTACCACTAGCCACACCTACTGGAGCCACGCCCCCTTCATTACCTGCTGCCACTTCATGAACAGTTGATAATCTTGAAGGACTTGATAACTGAGTATTAGCTGATCGGACTGGCAGGGGAGGAGGGGCTGGCCCTTTTTTGGGCCCTTGGTCACCTTGGTCCAGCGGCTTAAAATCAATGGCTTCATATTCACCACCAGGGGGCGGGGTCACTACAGCAATGGGTGGGGTCACTACAGCAGTGGGCGGAGTCACAGCTGAACGAGGTGGTGGTAAAGAGGGCGGAGTAGCTCCACCCACATCAATGTCTCTATCATACGGTTTAGAATCTATAGCTTCATAAGTTGAATCAGCTATTGGTACGATAGGGGGCGGAGCCTCAGAGACTGGACGAGGAGGTAAAGTGGGTGGAGTCTCAACAGTTCTCTTAGTATCAATAGACTCATATGTATTATCAGACTGGAGGGGCGGGGAAGGAGGCGGGGCCACTGGAGGAGGGAGAGGAGGAGGAGGAAGATCAGGTACTTTACTAATACGAGGTGGTAAAGTGGGTGGGGCCTGATCAATAGTGGGAGGAGTCTGGTGTAAAGTGGGAGGGGGTTGATCAAAAGGTTCATAAGTATCCCCAGCAGTAGGAGGTGTGGTCTCTGTCAGCTCCATTGGCTCATAAGTATCGGGTCCAGGGAGAATGGGCTCCTGTGGTTCATCTAGTGGCTCATATTCATCAGCTGAGGAGGAGGGAGGGAGAGGAGGGGGAGGGAGAGTGGGAGGAGCTTGAGCTGTACGAGGTGGTAAAGGAGGAACTGGTTTGATATTATGGGATATCGGTTCATTATTAGCCACATCCACTTTATCATTAACTATACCCACTTCATTAGTCACTACTTCAGACGGTGTCTCTATTGGTTCATACAGTTCACTGGTGGGCGAAGACAAAGGGGGAGGGGCCAAAGGATCGTCTAGTTCCATATCCAAATACTCGTCATCTTCAGACTGAGGGGTGGGGCTGGAGGAGGTGCAGCCAGACTGAGGTGATAATGCTATGTTAATTTCATCATCGTCTTTAATGAAAGGTGATTGGACAATTCTTAGTCTCTGGGTAGGCGTGGCCACTGAATCAGGAGTATCTGAACCAAGAGTGATACTGGAATCACTAATGGGGGAGGTTACTGTGACAACCTCTTCTTGAGGATAATCATCATCAGTGATTGGAGGAGGAGGAGGAGGAGGGAGGGAATGAACCACACGACGAGGAATAGGGGGCGGAGCCTGGGCTGGTACAGGAGGGAGGGGATCAGGAGAAAGGGGAGGAGAAGTGGGCGGAGCATCAGAGGGTAGGGGAGGAGGGGGAGAGAGAGAAGAAGTATCAGTAATTATACCATTATGATGATCATCAGAGGGTAAGGGAGGAGGAGGGGAAGTATTGGTATCATTATCATTAGAGGGTAGGGGAGGGGGAGAGGTAGTGGGTGGGGCACTGATAGGAGGATCAGGAGGTAACTCAGAGAGAGGAGGAGGAGGAGGGAGGGACATGTCCACTTCTAATAACGGAGGGAGAGATGCTAGTATATCAATTGATGGATCGGTTGTGGTGGGTGTGGTTTTATTACTAATATCTCCTTTTAATAAATCATCCCATGACTCAACCTGCGGCTGTAGAGAAGGAGGATACTGGGACAATGGTACGGCCTTAGGTGGTAACTGTGGTACATCGGTTGGTACATTGGTTACATGATCAGTGGTTTCTTCTTTTATTGGTTCTTGTGGCGGAATTGAACTAATAGAGTTTCTAGTTTGGTCTTTAATGGACGAGGAGCGTCTAGGGGGAGGAGGAGGAGTGAGGTCTCCTTTTGAACTAACACTCACTCTATTTGGTAATGTTTGCGTCCCCCGGGGGCCAATATTCACATAACGATTAGCTCCCCTGGGGGCCGGTGCCAAAGATCCTGATCTGCTGTTAGAGAGAGGAGGAGGAGGGAGAGGAGGTGACTCTTCAATTGACAGTACTTCAGGAAGGTCAGGTTTAGGCTCGCTATTAGCTCCACCCAGTTCCTCTTTGACCACACCCACTTGAGTGGAGCGCTGTACAGGTAACGTAGCCCCTTTATTAATACCAGTCTGACCAGTTCCTTCAACTGGTTTTATTAATGAACGAGTTCTCTTCATTGGCTTAGGAGACAGACTAGGATTAGTAGGTGTGGTCTGATCAGAGGGTGTGGTCAAAGGCACCAACCCTCCTGATGAAGTGTTCCTCTTTACTGACCTCCTCATTGGTACAGGGGGCACCACTAGTGACTGAGGACCAGCTGTAGGTAGGGAACCATTGGAACTCATTGAAGGAGGTCTCTGGACAGAGACAGGCTGACTAAAAGGAGCAGCTCCATTATCAGAAGGATTAGGAGGAGGGCCAGTACTAGCATCATCAGTGTTAGTAGCTGCTGCTGGACTAGGAGCTGTTACTGATTGAGCATCTTTAAGAAGTTGAATAGCTTTTAACAGTCTGTTGAGATGACCTAGTTTTGTAATACCTAAAGTACATGAAAATAAAAGAATGTTATATTATAATAACTTTATTTAAATTGGTATCATTGTAAAGTGCTTTTATTAGGAAGCCCTCACCAATAGCCTTGAGGTGTTCCCTTGTCACTCCATTAAGAGCTGAAGGTGTATTGAGGTTATGCTGGCTCAGTAATGGAGAGTACTCATCCAGACTGAGGTCCCTTAACCAACTCTCAAACCAGGAGGAGGAGTCTCCTGACATTCTGTGGAGGAATGGAGAATAGGAAATCATAAATACAGTCCATTGGAGTTGCAGCTGCTTCCATCATACCCACAACCTCAAACAGTAAAGACAGGGGACAAACTTGACCTTACACGTACAATTACAAAGTATAATTTCATGCATTTAAGTACATAAGAAAATGTTTCCATTGCAACTCTCCATCTCTTCAAACCAGACATCGCACATGTATACATGATACTCATGTATATACACGAGAAAGTGCTGAAAAAGTAGATAAATGTAGATATATGATTAGCCATAGCAATACACGAAATATTGCTCTTGTATTTACTATTAATAGTTATTAATGTTATTGAACGATTTAATAAGTCAATCAACCTTAATAACTAGTATTAAATTTGCTACTAACTACACTTCAGTCACTATTAGTGACTATTCACCCTTTTATGCTTACCTCATTGAATGCTTACTCTTTTTTAAAAATAAAAGTTAATATATTTATACAGTTATTTATCAGTTAATGCTGTGATAAGTTGATAGCCAAATACAAGTAAATACATGAAAGTAAATGGTGTTAGTAAAAGTACATACAATATAGAAAAGTTAAAATACAAGTAAATACATGGTAGATGAAAGGTGGATACATGATGCAATGTCTGTCTTCAAACACTAAAAGTAACCATAAACCAACATCATTGCATCTCTGCAGTTTAAATACTGATCTTAGACTAAACTGTGTCGTAGGGCAGACCATAATTACATCAATGATTATCGTTATAACTACAAGCAGACACCTGACTTCATCTTAAAAGGCTCAGTGCATATACTGCTGTTACTACAGTGCATATACTGCTGTTACTACAGTCTTAATAAAGTAACTATTCATAGTTGACATACACCATATAATTACAATAATTACAAGATACTAACTTTGGTATTAGTATAAACTACTCTCACTAAGAACACATTCCACAGAATTTAACATGCACACACACACACACTAATTATTAAAAAGGAAAGCAGCCACTTATTCTAGCAATCATTATTTATTTATTATTTTTATTAACTTTGGGGCTAATCGATCTAAGAATGCAATGTTGTAATTATTTTTATCATAAATTAAAAGGTGCAGCAAAACAAGCAAAACAATGCAAAAACACGAGAGAAGGTTGACACTGTTTAGAGCAATGACTGAAAGGCAAAACTATGAAAGAACAAACAAACTAATGAATGTTTCGGTTATGAGAGAGAGAGAGAGAAAGGGAGAGAGAGAGAGAAAGGGAGAGAGAGAGAGAGGGAGAGAGAGAGGGAGGGAGAAAGAGATAAGAGAGAGGATACAGGAAGATGCACTTGATTTGAAATAAAAACAACAAAAAACATTCACAAACATTTATGAAATGCAACTGCTTACAAAAACAACATCAGGGAACATGTACGTACACTTATTAATGGGTGGTCTTTTATAAGGAGAATAACCAGTTTAACCACACATAATAGGAGAGATTAGTCATAATAGACCCAGCTTATCAATTCATTATCAGCTGTACACTGTACACGTATATTAGCTACATTTGCAAGTACAGGCTCTTGCGTTAATGTATAAACAATGGCCTCGTGTAGCTAGGGAGCTAACCTTTAAGGAAATGGCTGGAAGAAAGAGAGAGAGGCAGAGAGAGAATGAGGTAAAAATAAACAAATTATCACAGGCCAGGTTATTCCCAAGCCACCACCTGCAGCCAGTGAGAGTATAAGTAAGTCCCTGCCTCCTGCAATAGAAGCTAGTCTCTTGACAGCTCACGAGAGAGAGAGAGATATGATGAGAAATGGGCTGAAATAGAGAGAACCAGCATAGAGCCGGAGGAGGAGGAGAAGATTTTACAAGAATGGGCCACCACGTGATCTCTCTCATTAACTGTTAATTAATTATTCATGATACAGGAATTTTGAATTTTAATAACTAGTGGGTGTGATAAAACGGGAAATTTATAACCATTACTTTATCGTAAAAATAGTAAAATTAATCAAAATTGATCTTGTAAACAAAAATGAATTTAAATCTTTTTTAATATGAAAATTTTATGAGATAATTTTATGTAGAATGATGCAGGAATATACCTTCAAATAGTCTAATACAATTACTGCTTGCACTTGCTTGGAAATACACCAAAAATGAATTATATTTGACTATTAAAGTCGCAGCATCTCATTAATAGACTAATAGAGCACAAATTAATTTTACTTCTGTTATTCAAATCAAGAGTCTCTGGTCCAGCTGGATACAATAACAAGTTGTGTGGGTCTGCCCAAAGAAATACACCTAATTGTGTTACAATTTAATTTATTATTTAGTAAACAGTAATGTGATGTCGATTAGGAACAAGAACTGTATTTTTGTTACCAGTCACAAGCTCATTTTTAATTTTATTCATGAATAATCATGCACTTGTGACCAGATTTAATAGTATTCATAGTCACCTCCTCCCACTCACGAGTTCACTCACCAAAATAAATTGCTGACAGCTATCTAGTATCTATGCTCAGTATGCTGATCGCTGACAGCTGGTGAGATATTCAAATCAAGCCATGTCCTCCAGCTTCTGTGTTGTTTTTCTCTTCTCTTACCTTTCTCTTGCTTTCTCTCAATCTGTGACAGTAGAGACAGAGGCCAGAGCTATTGCTGACATTAATGCTTTCATTGCTAACAACACCAACACTGGGAATCAACCTGAAATTAATAATGTAAGACTCACTATAATAATAGTTTGACATAATAATTATAGTTTTTGTATCACTGCATGAGTGCCTTGATGGTGCAATGGAGCATAAATATCAGAGTAAACGTGCATTGTCCCATTTATGAATACTTCTCTTAGTACCATGATAGCAATAGCAGTTTACTTTCAGTTACGGTATCATATCAAAGCCTTGGGTGGGGCTCCCTATGCCTACAGGCCACTTTCTACATCTCAGCTTTAAATTTTAAAATTGTTTTTTTGCTTTGCTGTTTGTTATTTTAATAAAAATTGATGCCAAAACTGTCTATAAATGTATTTATTCTTTCCTTTACAGCCAGCTGCTAAACTAGTCCGTCTTGCCTTTCATGATTGCCCAGGTGGATGTGATGGCTGCCTCAACTTTGAGAATCCTGAAAACAATGGACTAATGGAGACATACACTATTATCAATGGGATATTTGATCGTAATGGCTATGCAGCAGAGGGAATGTCACGAGCTGATTTTGTTGCTTTAGCTGGTGTCATTGCAATAGAAGCTGCATCAATGCGGCAAGACTGTAGAATGATGCCACCTAATTCAACCTGTCCACTTGTTCCTACTATGACACTCAAATATGGTCGCAGAGACTGCCAAACGTCTCCAAGAACAGATGATATTGAACCATTTCCAGTTGCTCATGGCGACCTGAGTCACGTACTGATGTACTTTCGGGATAACATGAACATGAGCACTCGTGAGACTGTAGCCATTATAGGAGCCCACAGTCTGGGGACTACCAGACTACAGAACAGTGGGTTTAGAGGCCCTTGGGCTCCACCGACTGATAGGTTTGATAATGGGTTCTATCGTATTTTATTTGGTGGTGGTAATGCAAGGTGGATGCAAGAGGAGGTCAACGACACTCGTAGCTCAGTGTTCCCTGATTCAAGATACCAATGGACTAGGCCTGGCCCTGGTAATGGTGGACCTGGTCCTGGTAATGGTGGTGGACCTGTTATCATGTTGAACAGTGACATGGTAAGTGCTAGCTATGCATAATAAGATACAGCACATGCTCATCACATGCATGGATTCTTTTGATAGTAAGCATATTTTGTTGGGTAAACATTGTAGTAGCTATAGTTACATTCTTTACATTACTATAGCATTGATTGGCAGTGTTTTATTCCATAGGCTTTACTGAGGGACATTGATCCTGATTCTGATGGACGTGAGTCTAATGCTTCTTGTCGAATGAACTCAAACAATTGTGAAGAATCAATGCTCACCTTTAACATGGTGAGGGAGTTTGCCATGAACAACAGTGCATTCATAGAGGCATTTGGACCCGCCTTCCAGAAACTAATAGAAACTGGTTACCATGGGACTAATGCTCTTTATACTGCAGAAGAAGTTGTTCCTACATCATCATCACCTATGCCAACCCCTACTGAGTCATCCACTCCTAGTGCTGGTGTTGGCTTGAAAGCAGTTCTGCTACTCACTCTATCTCTCTTTGTACTAGCTGTCTTTGCTTGAACAGTTAGTATTTGATCAAAAAGATGCTGACTTTATTCTAGTATGCTAGATTTTATTACTGCGTCTAATCATGTCCTCATTTAATTTTTAGCTTGTTTTTAGTAAAGAGTACCATTATTTATCATAACACGTGTAAACACGTGGGTGACCAAGTAGGTGTGGTTAAAATCTAACACGTGTATACACGTGGGTTTAATCATGAATCTTACACATGCGCAGTTGGTAACCATGAACCACGTGTAGTACTCAAAATGGCTGCCAGTGAAGAAAAGAAGAGAAAAGGAGGTGAAGGAGTTGTTCTAGAGCTGGAATTAGTGATTGGGAGCTACGAGAGTCTATTATGTGGCCTATCCTATGATTTACTGGAGGATGAAGCAGTAGGAACCTTGTTACTTATTTCTAAAATGTTTTTAAAAAATAGAAATTGAGATCAAAATTCAAAGAGAAAGCTCACATGAGCTCTATAAGATCAGTGGCAGCTTCAAATAATGGGATACTAGCCTCAGGGGGGACTGACGAGATTATTAAGTAGTTATATTAATTAATTACTGCTGACTCCACCCATTTATAATAGATTATACAACATGAGGACTCACACAGAACTAGGCACATTAATACAACACGATGGTACGTAATTAATTAATTATTCATAGGTGTAATTACTCATTCATTCAGGTACTATTAATTATTTATTATTTCAAGATGATGGTAAATATTTGTACAGTGCTAGTGATGATGGTTCAGTCTGTGTCTGGTCCACTCATGACTGGCAGTGTCTTCACGTATTGAAAGGACACAAGTAAAGTGGGTGTGGGTGGAGCTTAATCATTGTTTTGCTGCTTGTGATGATTTTGAAAAGGAATTGCCGTTTGAGCCATTTTTATGATACCAGCAGTTTCGCTGAAGCAGCAGCAGCGAGTGTAATAGTGTATTCTGTTGTGTTAATTTTTTTATTGATAATCTTTATTTTTATACCAAGAGGTCCTGTTTCATGTGTTGCTGTTCATCCAAGTGGACGATTAGCACTTTCTGTCGGTAAAGACAGAACCATAAGGTTTATTGTTTATTAACTGATTATTAATAATTACTATCACAGGACCTGGGACCTATCAACTGGCCGTTGTGCTTTTATTAAAAAGTTCCCTCAAGGTATGTTGCTGGGTGTGGTCACTGATTGCCCCTCCTCCTCCTCTTACAGCTCTTGATCTTGTGGTTTGGTCCCCAGTTGGTGATTCATATGTTATATCGTCTAATAATCATTTTTCATTATTTCACGTTGAGGTGAGTCGGAGTTAGTGTTTCATTCCAATCTCTTCTACTATAGACTGGCCCCATACTCCTTCAAGTCAATGTTGGTCATCATATTAATTCCATTGTATTTATAACAGTAAGAGCTTGTTGTTGTTTATTGTTGTTTATTGTTGTTTGTTGTGATCAGTGATGAGTCTATTAATAGGAATTGCCGTTTGAATTTCCAATATGTAACTACTGGGTCAACTGAGATCACTCTTTTATTATTATTTATTCATTTATTTATTTATTTATTCATTTGTGTTTATTGTTTTTCCCCCTTCAGGATGATATTATAGCAGTCGGGTCTGAGTCCAGTGATATTTTATTTTATTCCGTTACTAAGGAAGAACAATTACTGATCTCATTGAAAGGTCACACCAACAGGTCAATAATCATCATTATCATCATCATCATCATCATTATTATTATTATTGTTTCTGTAGGATAAAGTGTCTTTCTTTTGTACCAGGTGCTGGGCTATTGTTCTCTGGTTCTTCTGACGGTTCAGTAAAAGTTTGGAAACTATCAATGGACAATATAGTAAGCACTGTATACTTTTAATGTTAGTATACCATCAGTATACTCTTGTATTCTTATAGTCGGAGAGTCAGTGTATAGCTGATGCTGATATTGGAGCTAGATTGACTTGCATGACACTAGTCTATCCTCAGGAATTGGAGGAGGGTGGGGCTAAGAAGAAACGCAAGAGAAAGACTAAGATTCAGTCAACCTCTAATGAAGGTAAAATAGATACTTAATACCTATTGACTGAAGACATAATGTGAACAGAATATACCCTGGACATTAATCTTTAATATTGTATAGAGGAACCAATGACTGAGCAACTAATGAAAGATAGAGCTGTTGTTACATTTGAAGAAGACACCATTAGTAGTATTAATAAGGAACAAAAGAAGACAAGAGCTAAGAAGAGAAAGAAAGGGCCAGGAGGTGGTGCTAAGAGACCATTAGTGACAGTAGAGTATGAGGAAGAGGAGGAGGAGGAGGAGGAACAGACTGAACCGTTTGTAAAGAAGAATAAGAAATCAAATAATGGAAAGAAAGTCAAACTTGATTCGTCTAAAAAGAAGAAAAGAAGACATGTCTAGTTTTTGTGATTGAAATTAATGTTATTTTAAAATTCATGCAAGCTCAACCCATACCTTTTAAATTAAAATATGGCTGAAAGCAGGGAGTCTCCTCTTGTTTCATTGGAAGACATTACCAGAGCTGTGAGTGTATTGGAGGCCAGTCCTCATGTTGATAGAACAGGATTGATTCGTGTAAATCCTTCACGCTATGGGATATCAGCAAATGGAACTGAGCTCTACTTCAAACTGGAAGGAATGCAGAACAAAGGATCCTTTAAATTAAGAGGTAAGGCATTATAAAATGAGCTAAAGTTGTATTGGAATTCATTGGATCATCAGGTGTTGTAAACCAACTGGAGAATGCTCCTCCTGAGGTGAAGGAAGGGAAGAGGACACTGGTCACAATGTCTGCCGGTAACTATGGCCGCTCCTTTGCTTACCTTTGCAAAGAGAATCAGCTCAAGGGGAAGGTGGTAATGCCAGACGTATCTCCAGCAAACAGAGCAGAACTGATCCGAGGCCATGGATTAGAGGTACAGCTAGTGCCTACTTCACAGCTTAAGGAGACAGTGGAGCAATGTGTTCAAAAGGAGGACATGCTCTTTATGCATCCATTTAATGACCTTCACCTCATTGCTGGGTATGGTAGCATCGGCTATGAGTTGTACCAGGAACTGACTAACATTGATATCATCATAGTCTGCTGTGGAGGAGGGGGCCTGTTAGCTGGGATTGCTTCATATGCTAAACTATCAGGAAAAGGATCTAATACTCGTCTCATTGGAGTGGAGCCTGAAGGAGCCCCCACCATGTACCTGAGCTTAAAGGAAGGACGAGCGGTTGAGAAACCTGATGCTAAGAGCATAGCAGGAGGTCTGTCACCTCCTTATGCTGGGACCAATACTTACCAAATAGTGAAAGAGTTTGTAGAGGAAGTGGTTCTTGTTAGTGATGATGAGATCAAGGAAAGTGTGAGATTATTGTACAATAATGGACTGGTAGTGGAGCCATCAGGAGCTGCTGGCCTAACTGCACTGAGGTGTGGCAAGATTAGAGATATTGATGGAAAGAAAATTGCAGTAATCATCAGTGGAAGCAATGTATCACCTCAGGAACTTGTTAATATTATGCAATGATTGTAGCTCATTAATTATTCATGATTTAATTGGTAATTAATAATAATTATTGTTCATTAATATTCATTAGGATGGTCACGTGATTATTGCCCAATCCAGTTTTTGTTGCTTAGCAACGACATGACCTCAGGCGGGAGCAGAGAGAGAAGAAGAAGCACGAGGCAGCCATTGTCTCTCTCCTCAGATTTCAACTTTTCTCTTTCTGTAACTCTTCCTTTCTCTCAGTAGGTCTGCTGGAATGTGTGGTACTAACTGTTGGAGAGAGACAGGTTACTGTGTCCTGTGTATGTACAAGCTTGTAATATTCTTTATGTAGGAAATAGGCATGACTTGTTACTGTCTGGAGTACAGGATAATTAATGAGATAAGTTAATACACACACACAGTGTTCCTGTATATGAGTGTGTGATGAATAATGGAGGGAATAGTTTATCTAAGTGTCAGTTGGTAAAGACAACGAGCAAAGCAAGAGTGAGAAATACATGTAATGGGGAAAAACGAGTGGTTTTGCTCTTTGCCTTTCCACTGGCATTTTGGTAACATTCTCACTTTATTCTTTCACACATTCCGCATGTTGTTATTATTATTATTATTATTATTATTATTATTATGGGGTTATTGTTTTATTATTATCATCATAAACTATATATTAGTTAAATGACAAGTAAATTCATATTTTTGTATTATTTTCAGGTTGATGTTCATAACTTGTATCAATGGATCAAAGTATTGGTTAATAATATCCACACACTATCTGTACATGTACATCTATATCTAACACATATTCTATTTTCTTTCTTAAGCTGGATAAACTAGTCTTCTTCAGCATCAAGTTCAAGTCTTCAGTGTATGGTAACAATGTATCTATTGCATGCTAGTACCTTGATTACAGTGCTAATGATAAAGGGCTCATTGTATACTGTTATCCACCCCAGTACATGTAATAAAGCACTGTCCCATTGATCTTTAATTATTCTATTGTTTAAACATTTTTCTTTCTTTATTTCTACAGGAATCAAGTTTAAAGTTGGTTGAGTGTGAGGTAGAGTGAGAGTTAATAATGTATAATTACGCATGTTTATAATGTATTTTATGCATGTACAATATAATCCACACATGTCCTTCCACCCCCCCCCCAACCTCTAGTAGGTCTGCCGACTGTTCTGGACTGGACCCTGGTAAGTATTGATTGCATGTTCTCCGTTATTACATGTAATGGGATGGATAACAGTATACAATGAGCCAATGGTTTAAAATTTAAATTTTAAAAATTTATTTTTGAATTTGTATTATAATTCAGTTAAATTTGAATTTTAAAAAATCTAATTTACTAAGTAGGTGGGGCAGTGGAGATATAACCACACCCTCAAAATAGGCGTGTCTTCAGTTGACCAGTTAGTTAACTATTAATAATTAACTAGCTTGAGGTTGAAGTGGGAGGAGCCTGTATAGTAAAGGGGCCGACCTTACGAGCTTGAGCTAGCTAGAAGTACAAGATGAGTCTTTCTGAGAAACTGGGACCGTCCAGAGCTAAGGAACTAGCCGCCTTCCTTCTCAAGGTAGAGTTCCCAGCTCCTACGAGAAGAATAATGGAACCATTACTGGAAATGGTGAGAAACATTAACCAGCCTGTCTGGAGGTGTGTGTGTGTTTAAAAGTAATGGTAATACCTGAGGACTGAGATATCTGCTTGAGGTGAAGCTGAGGGCAGATATCAAGGGACTCAGGCATTACATTACTGATACTCACCTCCAGACACACACACACTGGTTCTAGTACATGTACTGAACGTGAAGTATATGTAATTATTATAACAAGTCGAGTGAGGAATGTCCATTGATAATTTGAGAGTAAACTGATAATAATGATAATTTAATTTATACAGTGTTCCACAACAGTATACTGAAAATTTACTAATAATATACTGCTACTCTAATTTCTATTTTTAGTTGGTTGGAGGGCAATCATTTGATTTGTCCCAGAATTACCTTATAAGGGAACCGGCTGCACTGTTACTATTAATAGAACTGATACCATCACTCTCCGAAGAGCTGCAGGTAAATAAAAATAATTAATAAATTTAATTATTATTTTTTTATCATTTTTAGCTTGACCTATGGAGTACTCTTGGTGCTATGCTGCACCAGTGTCTTCACAACATTAGCAGCTGTCATAATATCGGAATGACTGAGAAGTGTTTGGACTATTTAGCAAAAACTAAAAACCCAAAAATAGCGAGTAAGAACCTCTCCTAATGGACACTCTCTATAGCGTACACCTTTATTTAACGGACAGCATCTATCATAATGTTATTGTTTTGTAGATCACATTGGGTCTGTCCTTGAACTATTGTCTGGTTACAGTTTAAGTGTCAAACACTTAAAGTCAATCCTATCATATTTATATAATGGACAGTCTGACACCACATGGGTAAACAATAAACAACAACAACAACAACAACAATGATGATGATGATATTTTTCATCTCTTTTTCATATTAGGCTCCTCACTCAGTATTATTAATTAGTTTATTGAATAACGTTACTATTAATAGAACACCTGATGCTTTCTTTAGCTTCTCTGGTGGCCACGGATCAGTAAGTAATAAATAAATACTAATAACTATTAATAACTAATAATAACTATTAATAACTAATAATAACTAATAATAACTATTAATAACTAATAATAACTATTAATAACTATTAATACCTATTATTATTTTTAGGTGTTTGCATTGCCTCCAGTGTCTAAATGGCCTACACAGACTGGGTTTACTGTATCAATGTGGATAAGATCAGAGCAAACTTATGATTCACAGAGAGACTATTACAAACCAATCCTCTACTGGTAGGGGGCGTGTACATGTACATGTAGGGGCGTGTACATGTACATGTATATTATTGAAAGTGATCAATATTAGGAGCTAGTTATTAATGGTTATTAATAGGTTTCGTAGTGGGCGTGGTTCTGGTTATTCGGCTCATTTTGTTGGTAGTACGTTGGTACTGGAGACTGTTGGTAAACAGATCAAGAAACCTCAGACACACCCAGTGGACCACGTCTTCCATTCATTTCAAGTAATCACTTTAATTAAATGTGTGGGTGGTAGTTACTTTAATTGTATTGTTATTACTGAGCTGAGCTGAATTCATTTTGGGAAAACTATAGCCTATGGTTTTTTCCAAAAAATGGGTCCAAAATCACCCCCAATTCTTATCACATTTTCTAATACATATTGATGTCCTTATGCTGTGTAGAAAGTTTGAGCTGATTCCAAATTCAATTTTTCAAGTTATGGCCATTTAAAAAAACAGGTCAAAATCTGAAAAATCCCCTGTACTATAGCCCATGGTTTTTTCTGAAAAATGGCTCCGAAATCACCTCACCTTTTTATTACATTTTCTGATACATATTGATGTTCTTATGCTGTATAGAAAGTTTGAGCCGATTCCGACTTCAATTATTATTATTATTATATTTAGTGGTACATGGTCACTGTTGTGTACACTGCTCATCGGCTGAGATCCAGTGAGGTCCAATGTTATGTTGATGGAGTTCTATCATTAACTGCTGAAGTAACTCTACCTTTACAAGAAGAAGTAAGACGTGTATATACAAGATATTATTAATATTATATATTTTATTTTTAGATTTATGATAAATGTTTCCTGGGCGGCAATCACGTGGCTACTCCAGACTCAGTGTTTCAAGGTCAAATGGCTGCCCTGTACATATGGAGGGTCCCTCTCAGTAGAGACTCCATTGCTTCACTTTACAAACTAGGATCCAACTATAGGGTATGCTACTGATATTTTGAATGCTTGCCCTGTCAATTTTTGTACAGAGTCAGTTCAAATTTGAAGCCGAGGTTGATATGCCATTAACAATGAAGGAACAAAAAGTAAATAAAACAATTATTAAATGTTAAATATATCTTATTATTATATTAATAGTTATTGTTTGATGGTTCATTGTCCAATTCATTAATCATTTCATATAATGCTAAAGCAGTTGATGGTCAGTTGTGTCTTGAAGCTTCACCAACTGAAGGACACAGTTCAGTGTTTGCTCATTCACCTCATGCCACTATGCTTGAGGTAGGTATCATGTGACTATCATGTGATTATCATGTGACCTTTATTAATGCAGGGGGTGGAGCCAGTCCTCACTACATCAATACACAGTGCTCTTCATTCATTAGGAGGAATACAGGTATTGGAATGTTAATTTTTGCCATTTATATGATTCTTTCTTTCAATTTTAAAGGCCTTGTTCCCATTGTTTTCTCAACTGGATACAGAGCAGCTGGTGACATTGAAAGGGAAAACTGTCATTGATTATTCATTGAGGTACATCAGCTGTAGTTTTATAAATTTTCACTGCCTTTTTCTCTCCCAATGTCTTCTAGTGTTAAATTATTGTCATTAGTTTTTGAATTAGCTCGTAACTCAACCACTTACATGTACCAGCTGGTACAAATGAGCTCACTAATACCTCATCTACTGGGAAAAGTACACACACAGCTGCTATTAATTTTATTATTATTAAAATTTTAATTGTTTGTAGGTATCTCCATTACATTTAAGTGGAGACTTGCTTTCTGTTATATTTGATTTCTTACGTTATCTATCAAAGTCTCCTTATTCTGAAGAGCTCATCCAACCATTAGTAGTGCAGCTCCTGTTTAATGCTAGTCTCTGGATCAGGGCCAGTAAGAAGGTAAGAGTATACTGTTAGTATACTATTAATATACAGTAATGCAGAGAATATAGAATAATTATACTGATTTGCGATTTAAAAATTACACCTGCAGTTTACATTAACTTATCAATTTTATTTTAACTGCCCTCATGATAACCTCTGTATCTCTTTATAAAGTAAAAATTACGACCATTACTTTCAGTTTCATATTATTAGTAGTCAGTGTAAGTTCTTGCTGTTCTTCTCTTCAATGTCTGATAGTGTTCCTCTATTAAGCTCATCATCAGTTACTAGTAGAAGGAGATGTCCTTCCTCTTATCGTTTCCAGTTCATTCACTCCAAGGGAGCACTACTGGTACTATTCTGGGACCTGATGATATCATTTAGTCAGAATGTAGTTATTGCTGTTGCTTACTCCTCAGCTGCACATGTCCTTCAGGATTATTATTACATTATAATAGTCGGACTGTCTCTTGTTTTCTTTCTTGCTGGATATTTTGGAGATTTCTTATTGAGCAGATATAAAATTGTTTTGGTTGGATCATATATTGCATTTCTTTTACTGATTCCTTTTATAATTGTCTTCATGCTTCTACCATCATATACATATTTTCTGTTGGTGTTGTATGGATTGTCTTTCATTACTATTACTATTGTACGTGTTAATCTGTTGCCATTCAATATTGATCAGCTCATTGGATCATCAAGTGATGAACTAACTGCTATCATACACTGGCATAATATTGGACCTATTATTGTTATATCTACTTTCATGTTTAATATTAAAATGATATATCTATTACTAGCTAGTGTTGTCTGTGTATCTGCAGTACTAGTCAGTCACAGTCTTTCAAAGGTATC